TAATTTGAGGATGTAGAGTTTGCGGTGGGAGACAAAGTTAAGGATTTTATCTTGAATGAAGAATATGTATATATTTCTTCTGTTACAGTTGACAATGATCGAGATCGGGGAAATTTTTTTGCTCCAGATCTTGTTCAAAAAGTAATTGTGGATCAAGACAATATAAAAAACCCTATACAGAATCAAAAGATTGTTTCAGAAGAACAAATCTACAATCTCAATAACAAATGCCACTAAGGAAATCTACTAAAGAAAATAGATAGGTAATTAGATAATTTCAAAGCCGTTCTTGGAGAAAATAAGGAGGTGTTGTATTGGTGGAAGAAGCTTTCATCAATTAACTTTTATCAAGCAATACAAAGAAATAATTCTTAAAAGTGAATTGATGTCATGAATAAAGAGATAAAATTCATAAGTGACAATGATATTTGGAACTTATCCCGTTGCCTGAAGGTACGAAGCCCATTAGTTGTAAATGAATATTTAAAATCAAGAAAGATTCAAAGGGTAATGTGGAGAAATATAAGGCTTGTCTTGTTGTAAATTGCTTTACTCAAAAGGAAGACATTGATTTTAAAGAAATTTTCTCTCTGATTTATATGAAAGACTCTTTTAAGATTATTATGACACCTGTGACACATTTTGATTTTGAGTTACATCAGATTATTTATAAATTAAAGAAATTCATCTATAAGATTAAGTAGGCCTCCTGTCAATGGAATCACAAATTTCATCAAATAATTATCTTGTTTGGTTTTAAAATAAATATAGTTGATGATTATGTATGGCACATGTTCAGTGAGAATAAGGATATTTTCCTAGTATTGTATGTCAATGACATACTTCCTCCTTGCAGCGATGCAAGTTTATTGCACGAAATCAAGAGATTATGGTCATGAAATTTTGAAATGAAAAGTCTAAATGACGTCTCTTTTGTATTAAGAATACGGATACACGGAGTTTATAATTCTCAGAGTATTTTTAAGATTATTATAAAGGAGTTATAAAAAAGGTTCTTAAAAGATTTGGGATGCAGGAATTGTAAACTAGATGATACTCTTATTACTAAAGGAAATAAGTTTAGTCTTAATTAATATCCCAATAATATACTTAAAGAAAAGAAAATACAAAATTCCTATGCTTCAATAGTTGGGAGATAAATGTGTGTTAAGGTTTGTATACGTTTGGATATAGCATTCATTATTTGAACGCTATGCAGATATTTAATTAATTATGGGATGGGTACTTGAAAAGCAACCAATTATGTTATCGGAATTTAGAGACAACCAAGGATTACATTATCACATTCAAGAAAATCAGATCAATTGGAGATCATTGGTATTATGATTTTGATCATGAAATATGACTGTGAAATTTTATCGCTGCATTGCATATTTTGGATGGACTTGTAAGACCACTTAAATTATTTTGTGATAATATAAATCGTGTATTCCAACAAGGGCTGAATGATGTCAAAGTTTATAAATATTAAATTCCAAGTTAGCAAGGAAAGCTTTCTCACTAAGATGCTATCATCCAAGGTCTTTCATGAGCATATTGCTCACATGGGGGTTGTATCTTTTGATGATATGCCAGTTTAGTGAGAGTTTGTATTCAAATATTGTCTATTTTAAACATATATTTTTCATCTATGAATATTTGATTTATTATTCAAACTCCAATAATTAGATCATGTCTAATTGACCTTAGACTATCAAATCTAATTATTAGTTTTTGTTTTTCCATTAAAGGCAAAATATTGAACTCTTGGAATATATAAGATCACATAAACAAATAAATTTGTGATACTTTTCTATGACCTGTGGTATATGTATTTTATCCTTGTCTAATATCCAATAATTAGGTACAGCATAAGTGACTGTTTTGCCTTTCAAATTATTCTCACTAATTTAAGTATCATTTTCTTCAATGGTCCTATGAACTAATTATAGATATCGAAGTTTAGCCGTCACTAAACACTGAGCCTTAAATTTAACCTTTTAAAAAAATATTTAAATAGCCACTCTACCCATTTTTAGGATGACAGTTTCCGACATGAATTCATGTCTCTTCGCTCATTCTCAAGTTCTCAACTCATCGAAATATTTGACCAATCAAAATAATCTCACTCATTGATGAATCAAAGAACCATTAAATCACAAAAATATAAACATAATCATGTCAAGAGATTTAGATAAAATACACAGCAGTCAAGTAGAATTTAATTCTCTGTACGGTCATGCTATAGAATTAATTCAACATGTGACGTTCAACACACCCAAGTGTACAAGTATCACCTATAACTATTTCTGTGATAAGGACAAATCACAAACATGAATAATGAGTCGATCAACACTATAATCTTCCAGTACAAGGTGTCAACCCTTATACATTGGATGTGAACAAATTATTTATAATCAAATATAAGTTGTGTCACACTTTACTTTTCAACAGAAGTACCTAACTTATATTAATACAAGCGATCATATGTAGTTTAATTCGCATGCTCAATAAATAAATGCACTAAATAAAATAATTTTTTTTATTTTATATAAGAATATTGTTATTTTTACATTAGCAAAACTATACTACATGGACACACAACCCAACATACTCCACGTTAATTAATTAGTAATTTTTAAAGTTTTATAAAATTTAAGTTTCATAAAATCGAGCAGCATCAGCTTCTGTCTTGACCTTGTAAAACTTTCCGCAAATATGCAGCACATGATTGTACCTTCTCTGATGTACAATCCCACTATACAGGTTAGGGATCCAAAACTTGACCTGTCCCTCCTAGACATTAATTGTAGGGGATGGGGTTGGGGGTAGGGGACGGCCACTGCAACTCTATAACTTCCCAGACTCTTCCAAATCCTTCTTTATTGGGACCTGTTGGCAGTACTGTTCTTCAATTTAATGTAAATGGACAAGAAACAGGGGTTTGATCTTGATCTCAATGTATCATCACGTCAATGGCCCTTATTTAAACTTAGATAAAATTAATAATGGCCCTACTAAATTTATTTTATGCCATCTTAGGCCCTAACTCACCTTCCGTAGACTAACCTTGTTGAAGTTTTGAGGGTATCGATTCTTACGAATGTTTGCATTTTTCTCGCAATGGGAAACAAAATATGCTCTGTAACTAATGAATCAGTCAACACTACAATCTTCCAGCACAAGGTGCTAACCCTTATACATAGGTTGTGAATAAATTATTTATGATCAAAATATAAGTTATATCACACTATATTTCTCAATGTAAGTATTCAACTCATATTATTACAAGTGATCACATGCACTTTAATCTCGCATGCTCAATAATAAAAAAAATACAATAAATGAAGTAAACACAATTTTATTTTATATAAGAATATTGTTATTTTTACATTAGCGAAATTAGACTATATGAACACACAACCCAACATATTCTACGTTAATTAATTAGTAATTTATAAAGTTATATAAAATTTAAGTTTCATAAAATCGAACAGCATCAGCTCCTTTTAAAACTTTCTGCAAATATGCAGCACATGATTGTACCTTCCCTGATGTACACTCCCACTATACAGGTTAGGGATCCAAAACTTGACCTGTCCGTCCTAGACATTAATTGTAGGGGATGGGGTTGGGGGTAGGGGACGGCCACTGCAACTCTATAACTTCCCAGACTCTTCCAAATCCTTCTTTATTGGGACCTGTTGGCAGTACTGTTCTTCAATTTAATGTAAATGGACAAGAAACAGGGGTTTGATCTTGATCTCAATGTATCATCACGTCAATGGCCCTTATTTAAACTTAGATAAAATTAATAATGGCCCTACTAAATTTATTTTATGCCATCTTAGGCCCTAACTCACCTTCCGTAGACTAACCTTGTTGAAGTTTTGAGGGTATCGATTCTTACGAATGTTTGCATTTTTCTCGCAATGGGAAACAAAATATGCTCTTTTCCGCATTTAAGCAATCGTAGGCCGTAGCCAAAACCTATGCAGGCTCCCTCACCAATCACCCTCGACCTCGCTCACTCCTGCATTTTTCTATTCGATTTTGCTACTTCATATCATTTAGCCCTTATTTGATGGTCATTATTTTGAGAAAATGGAGTTTTGAATAGTGATTTTTTAAAAAATGTGTAGTTAAAAAGTATGAAAATTTTTTAGTTACATGAAATATATTATATTGTGTAAATATGTGGTTAAAAACGCGTATGAAAATTCAAGAGCTAAATAATAGTTGTTAAACATGGACTTACTCTGCCAATCATTCATCATCCTCCTCGACCCACCCCCACTGTTTAGTTTGTGAAATACGATTCGCCACATGTTTGATTTTTCGCTTCCTTTAATGAAATTTTAAAATTTTCAATTTTTTAGGTATTATCAAAATAGATTTCAACATTTTTAGGACATGTTTGTTCACAATATTTTATATGATTGAATAATACAATTTTACTTATTTAATTTTATTCATTAATTAGTACTAAACAGTTCGTTTTAACTTCGCTCTTCCATTTAAAGCATAAAACATGAATTTCAATTAATTAGCTTGAAATAAAATCCTTGTCTTGAAAAATGAGGTCGGCCACGTTATTAGCTCGCATGAATTAGATGTCTTGTCTTAATAGAGCACGTAGGTTCTAATTTAGTTCGTGAGATTTTGGAGCCACACAAGATGTTTGGTACAACCTATATGTTTCAAAACGACTCATGCTTCGACGCGATATATTGAAAATAATTGTAATAGTTCAGTAACATCTAGTACTGTTTAATTTACCGACCAAAAAATTTATATTCTTGATTCGTTATATTTCAGTGATGTCCCAACAATTAATGTTCTTGATTCGTTATTCTTGACGATGTCCTGGACTTGCCACGTGGAAAAGACATTGGGCAGTAGTGGGCCAGCTGTTTGTTGCTTTTTGTGGGACATAAAAGGGTAGAGCCGGTGAGGCTGCATGGTTGGCAGGTGGTCACATGGACACATCCCATGTGTTGTCAAATACCAATAGGCTTAGCCCATACATCCCAAATTCCAACCAAGGGTAATTTAGTCACATTTTCCGGCTTCAAGTCTCTGTAGACTATACCCAACAGGTGCAGGTACTCCAGCGCCACCAAAACCTCCGCCGCATAAAACCTTGAAAATAAAGATGAAGATTTCATAAGAAACAGAGAAAAATTCGATGATTTCTTGCAACAAACACAGAAGGGGTAAACTTTTATGAATGAAAATTTGCATGAGAGGTCATTCTTAGCTTAATATAATAAGCATGCAGAGAATCAAATTCATCAAGAAAATTACATTCTAATGATAATCTTTAATTCTGTTTAGCCTTTCAAGAAAAAATGCTCAGCTTTTCAGTGCTGAAATTAAATTACCTGGCTGAGTTGAGAGAGAAGCGTTTGTGAGGCTGTTTATGTCTTAAAGAATGCAAATCACCTCCAGAACAATACTCCATAACCACACAAGAGAAACGAGAGGATTCAAATTCAGCGTAAAGTGTAGGCAAAAATGGATGATCCAAAAGTCTTAAGATTTTTCTTTCAATCTCCGCTCTCTGTGTTTTCTTCTTTAATGCCAACACCTCATTGTCCACTACTTTCATGGCGTAAAGACGGTCTTCCTCGGCCGCATCGCGGAGGCGGCAGAGGTAGACTCTTCCGATATCTCCGCTGCCGATCTGGTGGACCAAGCTGAAGTCCCTGAAGCTCAGCCCTCTCTTTGATTGGATAGCTTGGAATGAAGAATCCGATGAGCGGTGGGGCTTTAGCGTTGGCGGCTGGTCCGGCGAGCTTGTGGGAAGCTCGAAAGATAAACGGCTAAAACTGGTGGCGGTTTCACTACTCATTGAACTTTCGTCAGAATTTCTGGGGAAATCTAACATTTTGTTGAGGATTTCATGCACGATATATAGAATTGTACAGAAAGTTGAATGAGATTCCAATTAGAAGTCTTGGAAAATGCTTAGAAAACAATGTATATGTATATGATCAGGAATCAGATACGAGATATGGAAGAACGAACTGTTTAAAAAGATAACAGGAATCAATATCAATAGAGTAGTAACCAAAGTCAAAATTTTACACTCAAAGAGTTAGACAAAGCCTATGGCCTAGAAAGATTAAATAGAGTTTTCCAAAAGAAAGATGGGAAAAGCAGTCTTAATTTCCTAACTGAAATTAGGGTTTCCGTACTCTCAGATAAAGCGTAGAAGACAGAAATAAAAATATGTGTTCTGCTTAAAGGTTGAACCCCAACCTTAAGCCCCCATCGACTCTATCCTGGGCCATCGTGGAGGAGGTAAATCGCAGAATGTGTCTCTCAGGAGCCAGGGTGGAGAGCATATGGATAGGCCAAGGCTGTTAACCCATATGGTAACTCCCGCTTGCAACAAAGTCAATTCCACCTTGTGGGGAATCGAACTCTGCACACTGCCGCGCTGAGCCCTATCCGCCCTCCCCTTTGCCACTGGGAGATATGCCCTGGGGGTTAAAAAAAAAAATGTGTTCTGTTTACACCTATGTGTGTACATTTATGGCTTCGGAGTAGAGATGGATGGGAGGAAATTTTGGTCATTGAGAATTATTTAAGAGAAGGAGAATTGAATTATTGTCCCCTAACTTATTGTATTAGCCCCTTTTGGTTTTAATTTTTCAAGCAAAAAAAATCGATTTTTTGACCATTATTTAACATGATCAATCGTCATTTTTTACTTCTTCTCTTATAGGTGGAATCCATTTTTCTTTCAACGGTCAAAAAATTGATTCTAAGAATCAGTATCAGACAAGTTCTTAGTAACAAAATTGCTTTGACTTAACTTTTCATTATGTAGGATTGGACGTGGTCTAATTCGATCCAAGTAATTGAATCAAATCAAGTACCGATAGAATCATTCAAAGAAAATCATTGGTTTCATATCTAACAATGAAATCGAATCTGGTGCATTTTGATGCAATGCACCAGCAAAAAGAGAAATTCAGGGAAATCAATTCATTATTGGTTTTTAAGGTAGCCCCGAAAATTGGACAAAATCAATCAATTCTCGATGCATGATCCGAATTGATCCATTTGGTAAAGGAATCGGAGTCCAACCAACCAATTCTATCTATTTTTTGTCTGATTTCACTGGTTTAGGGAAAGGGAAAAAAAATAGACCACGCCTACATTAAAGTGTAGTTATGTAAACTATTCAGTCTACTAAACGTCATTATTTTGAAGTTAAGAGGAAAAATGATTACTTCTTTTTGGATCAATAATGATCAATGATGGCATGCACTCTTCTGTAAAAAGAGGAATTGCGAGACGAAATTGGGTCGATTATTTTTATTATGTATGTTAAATAGAAAAATGAAAAGAAAAAATTAACCTGGTTACATTGCACAAAGGATGAAAACTATGTTAAATATACATGTCTTTCGCATGTCAAATTTTACTAAGATAGTGTTTAATAATTTGAAATGAAATTTGTTTTTTATAAAGTTCATGAGATGATTTAGAGTCCGTTTGAGAGTGATTTTAAGAATTGATTTTTTGACCGTTAGGAGAAAAGAAGGGTCCACCTGTGAGAGAAAAAGTCAAATATGACGACTGAAATAATGAAATAACAATCGAAAAATCAATTTTTTGAAGGAAAAAATAACTCCCAAATAGGCTCTTAACAAGACATTTAGTCCTTATTTGACTCTTTTTAAAATAAAATAATTATTTTTCATATTCTTTTTTAAATAAATATTCACATAATAAAATATTTTGCATATAAATTCAAAATATTTTTTCACTTTTTAACCTCACAATTTTCAAAAAAAATTACTATTTAAAACATCATTTTTATACAATAATGGTCATCAAACAGGGGTTTAAACAATGTTGATCATTCATGACGGCTTCTGCAACCATGATGATGTACGAGGGATTAACTTGCTAATATTGTAATAGGTCGGAGACCGATGGTGCAATTTTGCTTTAAGAACGAGTTATGGACTATGGAGGGCAATAATTATAAATTCTCAATTAAATAATAATAATTTGACTTTTGTGTAAAATTAGTGTAGAAACTAGAATATGGTTAACGAATGAACAGTATATTAATTATTTTGATCTCTGAGTCAATGTTAGGCACGTGAGATACTGTGTCGCACGTGCATTGGTATTTTTATGGGGTTATGCTGACGTATATGGTGACAGGTGCGTAAAGTGTGCCTCTGTATTTGGCGCGTGTCAAATGGGAAGAGACTGCTTTATCTACAGACAGAATATACAGTGCGCGTGGTTTGGACTTGAACATGAAAATAACCTTTCAATGCAAGGACGAAAGTGCCCCTTTCGAAATTTGTGGTTTCTATTTGATTGAGTTAGAATGATCGTACTTTTTTGTAATTTGGCTGTTACCTCGAAGTAAGGGCCATATCATCGCCCGAAAGTTGGCTCAGATGAACCTTGCAAATCGCAAATATTCATGAAAAATTTTGTTATTACCATTTTATCCCACGATTTTCTTCCTTAAATTTGTGAAATCTTAATTTATTTTATAAAAGTCGGACTCGACATTGATTTGAATTTTGAATATAGAATTGAAGAAATAAAAAAATAAAAAAAAATTTACTTGCTCCATCTCATAAATATAAGTTTGTTTCTATTTTTTCACACAAATTAAGAAACTCATTTAGCCCTTATTTGATGGTCATTATTTTGAGAAAATGGAGTTTTGAATAGTGATTTTTTAAAAAATGTGTAGTTAAAAAGTATGAAAATTTTTTAGTTACATGAAATATATTATATTGTGTAAATATGTGGTTAAAAACGCGTATGAAAATTCAAGAGCTAAAATAATAGTTGTTAAACATGGGCTTACTCTGCCAATCGTTCATCATCCTCCTCGACCCACCCCCACTGTTTAGTTTGTGAAATACGATTCGCCGTTTCCCCTTCCCATCTAGGATGACAGTCTAAATGTGAAAGTTTGAATTGTTATCTACGCATAAGTAATCGTGTAACTACATCTTATTCATTCTTGAATTATCCAAATGAAAGTGTCCTTTTTTTAATAAACCAAAATTTAATATCAATTATAAATTAGAAAAATAAAATATCTTTTTCCTTTTTGGTTCGTCCATAATTACCAATTATTTTCTTCTACTACTCATAATTGCCATAATTCCTAATCTTTTTGCTTTCCATTCAGTGAAGCAAGCCATCATTTCAGCCACAACCACGTTATAGCCTTTTCATTTTGATCCGGATGTAGTTTTAGTCATTTACTGCGACCGTAGCTTATCCTCATTTCCCAACTTCTTTAAATAGAAAAAATAATAAAAAATTAAGAGACTTGCCACGTGGAAAAGACATTGGGCAGTAGTGGGCCAGCTGTTTGTTGCTTTTTGTGGGACATAAAAGGGTAGAGCCGGTGAGGCTGCATGGTTGGCAGGTGGTCACATGGACACATCCCATGTGTTGTCAAATACCAATAGGCTTAGCCCATACATCCCAAATTCCAACCAAGGGTAATTTAGTCACTTGATGATTTAACAAAAGTTTGAGCAATTTTTTGCGCCATTAGAGTAATTATGTTGGGGGCTCGAAAAATTATGAAGACCAATAATGGAGTAATAATTTGGTACAATTTTAGCAATTACTCGAATTGAACCATTGTTTTAAAAATCAACTCGAACACCAGACTTGTAAAAGAAAAAAAATATCATAGAGCGAATCGATGTCAAATCGAAATTCACATGATGAATTTTTAAAAATAAAAATAAGATAAATAAATTTACAAAAGATTCAAAAGAAGGATAGGGTTCATAAATCAGAAACTGATCAACGATTTTCATAAAATCAAATGGGTTGGCAATTTTTAAAAAGATGAGTTAGTCTGTTTAATTGGTCCAACTTTGAGCTGGGTTCCCAATTTCACCAAGCGAATCGGCTGGTCAAGCATATTCTAATTACATTGACGAACACAATTTTTAGAGCCAGGCTAATGAGGTCGAAAATTCATTCAACCGTCATGCCTAAACCTTGTTTTCAGATTAGAATTTTTACTCAAAAAAAATGTAATTTTCAATATTAATGCTAAATAGCATATATCACATTCATGTCATCCATTAATTATAATTTTATACTATTAAATTTGATAATATGATCTTTTTGGTTACAATGATTTAATATTCAAGGTCAGAATTTGAAAATCGGCCATATTATATGTATAATCGGAATTGACAATCACACACATTGGAGGAGAATCACTCCTTAGGTTGTCAGCAAAATTCAAATTTTTTAAAGAATCAATTGGAAGAAAACTATGGTAAACAATGTGGGCTTGTTGGGTCAAAACATGTAGTCGTTAATCCAAACTTTCCACATGATGCCGATTCCCAATGTCTCCTAACCGAACAATTGCTTGTAACTTGCAACTTCCTAGAATCATGACTTTTCAAGAATCTGCTTTCTTTACATAAAACAATATAATAAATATAATTTAATAATTATTTTATAATATTATGCAATATTATCCAATACCACCAAACTTAAAAACTCAATGTATTTTTATAATATTATTTAGAATTATCCAATTCTCTTATTAAATATACCAAAAATCACATAAAACCATCGACTCAATTCTAAATTCTACTGAACTTGCTTGAAGACACTTATGACTTCGAATACCGTGTTAGAATCATCGAATATTTTCTTTGTGTGTGTGTGTGTCAATTGTAAACGACGGACCAATACAAATGGAATATATCTCAGTCGGCAACAAGTGAAAGGCATAACATAAATAAATATGAAGTTAGGTTAAACTTTTCGAAAAATTGATAAAGATTTGACTGCACATTAATGGAAAATTTAATAATATATTCATCCTACACAATAGACTTTGGACCGTTTTATATACATGCATATGTAGTTAATATTCGGCTACTTAATTATATGTATAATAATTGCATTTTAAAATACGATAATGAGAGACTCCAATTTATGTCAAAATATGTACTCTTCTTTTTTTTTCTCCTAAACATACTTCAATATATTTTTTTAAAATTTAAATACTAATCTTAGAATCATCCTCCTAACCAAAATCTGCCACGTGGCAGCCGACAAAGCACGTTCAGAAGATATTAAACGGTGTCGTTTGCTGCAACAGTACCTTCTTATCATGAGACGGCGACGTTTTGGATCTTCGTATTCCGGGTACAGTCGGTGGCGTAACGGATCGAATCAACGCGAAATTCAAGCCTTTGAAAAATGGGTGGGACTTTATATCTGCGGCTCCTCGCTTCGACCCGAGTCGCTTGCTAGGGTCCTTGTTGAGCAGCCTGCAAATTAAGTTCCGGGCGTGCATTTCGGACAAACCGGAAGGGCTGCTGGCGGGGAATATTAAGGGCGATTTTATGATGTTACGCAGCGTAGTCTCATTGGATGCACCCGAAAATGGAGTCCTTCCATAAATCATTTCATACATAAAGATCCCGAGGGCCCACCAGTCCACTGAGTTACCATGGGACCTACCGGAGGCCACTTCAGGCGCCACGTACTCATGAGTCCCAACGAAGGAACACGACCGGGCGCTGACCGGCTCCGCCACGAAAAGCCGGTCGCCGGACAGTGTCTGAATCTTCTTTGACCGGAACAACCGGTTGGAGATGCAGGAGAATGGTGACAATTTTCGGGAGCTGTAATCTGCTTTTAGTGACGATAAGGGGTCAGATGAAAAGTCAGGAGATTCAACGGCTGGGATTGCATCAGAGCAAAGGGAGAGATCAAAGTCAGTGAGCATTATGTGACCGTCGGATTTAACCAACACATTTTCCGGCTTCAAGTCTCTGTAGACTATACCCAACAGGTGCAGGTACTCCAGCGCCACCAAAACCTCCGCCGCATAAAACCTTGAAAATAAAGATGAAGATTTCATAAGAAACAGAGAAAAATTCGATGATTTCTTGCAACAAACACAGAAGGGGTAAACTTTTATGAATGAAAATTTGCATGAGCAGTCAATCTTAGCTTAATATGATAAGCATGCAGAGAATCAAATTCATCGAGAAAATTACATTCTAATGATAATCTTTAATTCTGTTTAGCCTTTCAAGAAAAAATGCTCAGCTTTTCAGTGCTGAAATTAAATTACCTGGCTGAGTTGAGAGAGAAGCGTTTGTGAGGCTGTTTATGTCTTAAAGAATGCAAATCACCTCCAGAACAATACTCCATAACCACACAAGAGAAACGAGAGGATTCAAATTCAGCGTAAAGTGTAGGCAAAAATGGATGATCCAAAAGTCTTAAGATTTTTCTTTCAATCTCCGCTCTCTGTGTTTTCTTCTTTAATGCCAACACCTCATTGTCCACTACTTTCATGGCGTAAAGACGGTCTTCCTCGGCCGCATCGCGGAGGCGGCAGAGGTAGACTCTTCCGATATCTCCGCTGCCGATCTGCTCATTTAGCCCTTATTTGATGGTCATTATTTTGAGAAAATGGAGTTTTGAATAGTGATTTTTTAAAAAATGTGTAGTTAAAAAGTATGAAAATTTTTTAGTTACATGAAATATATTATATTGTGTAAATATGTGGTTAAAAACGCGTATGAAAATTCAAGAGCTAAAATAATAGTTGTTAAACATGGGCTTACTCTGCCAATCGTTCATCATCCTCCTCGACCCACCCCCACTGTTTAGTTTGTGAAATACGATTCGCCGTTTCCCCTTCCCATCTAGGATGACAGTCTAAATGTGAAAGTTTGAATTGTTATCTACGCATAAGTAATCGTGTAACTACATCTTATTCATTCTTGAATTATCCAAATGAAAGTGTCCTTTTTTTAATAAACCAAAATTTAATATCAATTATAAATTAGAAAAATAAAATATCTTTTTCCTTTTTGGTTCGTCCATAATTACCAATTATTTTCTTCTACTACTCATAATTGCCATAATTCCTAATCTTTTTGCTTTCCATTCAGTGAAGCAAGCCATCATTTCAGCCACAACCACGTTATAGCCTTTTCATTTTGATCCGGATGTAGTTTTAGTCATTTACTGCGACCGTAGCTTATCCTCATTTCCCAACTTCTTTAAATAGAAAAAATAATAAAAAATTAAGAGACTTGCCACGTGGAAAAGACATTGGGCAGTAGTGGGCCAGCTGTTTGTTGCTTTTTGTGGGACATAAAAGGGTAGAGCCGGTGTGGCTGCATGGTTGGCAGGTGGTCACATGGACACATCCCATGTGTTGTCAAATACCAATAGGCTTAGCCCATACATCCCAAATTCCAACCAAGGGTAATTTAGTCAATTGATGATTTAACAAAAGTTTGAGCAATTTTTTGCGCCATTAGAGTAATTATGTTGGGGGCTCGAAAAATTATGAAGACCAATAATGGAGTAATAATTTGGTACAATTTTAGCAATTACTCGAATTGAACCATTGTTTTAAAAATCAACTCGAACACCAGACTTGTAAAAGAAAAAAAATATCATAGAGCGAATCGATGTCAAATCGAAATTCACATGATGAATTTTTAAAAATAAGATAAATAAATTTACAAAAGATTCAAAAGAAGGATAGGGTTCATAAATCAGAAACTGATCAACGATTTTCATAAAATCAAATGGGTTGGCAATTTTTAAAAAGATGAGTTAGTTTGTTTAATTGGTCCAACCTTGAGCTGGGTTCCCAATTTCACCAAGCAAATCGGCTGATCAAGCATATTCTAATTACATTGACGAACACAATTTTTAGAGCCAGGCTAATGAGGTGGAAAATTCATTCAACCGTCGTGCCTAAACCTTGTTTTCCGATTAGAATTTTTACTCAAGAAAATGTAATTTTCAGTATTAATGCTAAATAGCATATATTACATTCATGTCATTCATTAATTATAATTTTATACGATTCAATTTGATAATATGATCTTTCTGGTTACAATGATTTAATATTCAAGGTCAGAATTTGAAAATCGGCCATATTATATGTATAATCGGAATTGACAATCACACACATTGGAGGAGAATCACTCCTTAGGTTGTCAGCAAAATTCAAATTTTTTAAAGAATCAATTGGAAGAAAACTATGGTAAACAATGTGGGCTTGTTGGGTCAAAACATGTAGTCGTTAATCCAAACTTTCCACATGATGCCGATTCCCAATGTCTCCTAACCGAACAATTGCTTGTAACTTGCAACTTCCTAGAATCATGACTTTTCAAGAATCTGCTTTCTTTACATAAAACAATATAATAAATATAATTTAATAATTATTTTATAATATTATGCAATATTATCCAATACCACCAAACTTAAAAACTCAATGTATTTTTATAATATTATTTAGAATTATCCAATTCTCTTATTAAATATACCAAAAATCACAAAAAACTGAAATTAGGGTTTCCGTACTCTCAGATAAAGCGTAGAAGACAGAAATAAAAATATGTGTTCTGCTTAAAGGTTGAACCCCAACCTTAAGCCCCCATCGACTCTATCCTGGGCCATCGTGGAGGAGGTAAATCGCAGAATGTGTATCGACTCAATTCTAAATTCTACTGAACTTGCTTGAAGACACTTATGACTTCGAATACCGTGTTAGAATCATCGAATATTTTCTTTGTGTGTGTGTGTGTCAATTGTAAACGACGGACCAATACAAATGGAATATATCTCAGTCGGCAACAAGTGAAAGGCATAACATAAATAAATATGAAGTTAGGTTAAACTTTTCAAATAATTGATAAAGATTTGACTACACATTAATGGAAAATTTAATAATATATTCATCCTACACAATAGACTTTGGGCCGTTTTATATACATGCATATGTAGTTAATATTCGGCTACTTAATTATATGTATAATAATTGCATTTAAAAATACGATAATGTGAGACTCCAATTTATGTCAAAATATGTACTCTTCTTTTTTTTTCTCCTAAACATACTTCAATATATTTTTTTATTTCAAGCAAAAAAAATCGATTTTTTGACCATTATTTAACATGATCAATCGTCATTTTTTACTTCTTCTCTTATAGGTGGAATCCATTTTTCTTTCAACGGTCAAAAAATTGATTCTAAGAATCAATATCAGACAAGTTCTTAGTAACAAAATTGCTTTGACTTAACTTTTCATTATGTAGGATTGGACGTGGTCTAATTCGATCCAAGTAATTGAATCAAATCAAGTACCGATAGAATCATTCAAAGAAAATCATTGGTTTCATATCTAACAATGAAATCGAATCTGGTGCATTTTGATGCAATGCACCAGCAAAAAGAGAAATTCAGGGAAATCAATTCATTATTGGTTTTTAAGGTAGCCCCGAAAATTGGACAAAATCAATCAATTCTCGATGCATGATCCGAATTGATCCATTTGGTAAAGGAATCGGAGTCCAACCAACCAATTCTATCTATTTTTTGTCTGATTTCACTGGTTTAGGGAAAGGAAAAAAAAATAGACCACGCCTACATTAAAGTGTAGTTATGTAAACTATTCAGTCTACTAAACGTCATTATTTTGAAGTTAAGAGGAAAAATGATTACTTCTTTTTGGATCAATAATGATCAATGATGGCATGCACTCTTCTGTAAAAAGAAGAATTGCGAGACGAAATTGGGTCGATTATTTTTATTATGTATGTTAAATAGAAAAATGAAAAGAAAAAATTAACCTGGTTACATTGCACAAAGGATGAAAACTATGTTAAATATACATGTCTTTCGCATGTCAAATTTTACTAAGATAGTGTTTAATAATTTGAAATGAAATTTGTTTTTTATAAAGTTCATGAGATGATTTAGAGTCCGTTTGAGAGTGATTTTAAGAATTGATTTTTTGACCGTTAGGAGAAAAGAAGGGTCCACCTGTGAGAGAAAAAGTCAAATATGACGACTGAAATAATGAAATAACAATCGAAAAATCAATTTTTTGAAGGAAAAAATAACTCCCAAATAGGCTCTTAACAAGACATTTAGTCCTTATTTGACTCTTTTTAAAATAAAATAATTATTTTTCATATTCTTTTTTAAATAAATATTCACATAATAAAATATTTTGCATATAAATTCAAAATATTTTTTCACTTTTTAACCTCACAATTTTCAAAAAAAATTACTATTTAAAACATCATTTTTATACAATAATGGTCATCAAACAGGGGTTTAAACAATGTTGATCATTCATGACGGCTTCTGCAACCATGATGATGTACGAGGGATTAACTTGCTAATATTGTAATAGGTCGGAGACCGATGGTGCAATTTTGCTTTAAGAACGAGTTATGGACTATGGAGGGCAATAATTATAAATTCTCAATTAAATAATAATAATTTGACTTTTGTGTAAAATTAGTGTAGAAACTAGAATATGGTTAACGAATGAACAGTATATTAATTATTTTGATCTCTGAGTCAATGTTAGGCACGTGAGATACTGTGTCGCACGTGCATTGGTATTTTTATGGGGTTATGCTGACGTATATGGTGACAGGTGCGTAAAGTGTGCCTCTGTATTTGGCGCGTGTCAAATGGGAAGAGACTGCTTTATCTACAGACAGAATATACAGTGCGCGTGGTTTGGACTTGAACATGAAAATAACCTTTCAATGCAAGGACGAAAGTGCCCCTTTCGAAATTTGTGGTTTCTATTTGATTGAGTTAGAATGATCGTACTTTTTTGTAATTTGGCTGTTACCTCGAAGTAAGGGCCATATCATCGCCCGAAAGTTGGCTCAGATGAACCTTGCAAATCGCAAATATTCATGAAAAATTTTGTTATTACCATTTTATCCCACGATTTTCTTCCTTAAATTTGTGAAATCTTAATTTATTTTATAAAAGTCGGACTCGACATTGATTTGAATTTTGAATATAGAATTGAAGAAATAAAAAAATAAAAAAAAATTTACTTGCTCCATCTCATAAATATAAGTTTGTTTCTATTTTTTCACACAAATTAAGAAAATTCAATTAACCCTCATTTGATAATTATAAAAATAGAACTCTCTTTACTAACACTTTTTCGATCGAGCATGTCACATCGATCTTATCTAGTGTGATTTACTTGGATGGCGTGGTTTGCAGCCTATTACATCAACTTGAGGATTTACACAGTACACACTTAAAAGGTAGCGGCTGCGGGTTCCCCCATAATAATAATAATAATAATAATAATAATAATAATAATAATAATAATAATAATAATAAATAGAACTCTATTTTTCCCCTCTCAAACTCATTTTCGATAACACATCCTCACAATAAAATAATGTGCACGTAATTTCAATTTTTTCTATTTTTCAACCGCACATTTCCTAAAAAAATAATATTTCAAAATTCTTTTTTTTTTAAATAATTCTTTTTAATAGTTGTCAAACATGGGTTTAATATAGTTAAAGATATAAATTTTACTTAATTTTTTTTAATATATTCTTACATTAATAATGAT